AATCTCACATTAACCATGAAATTTCTTTTTTGATGTGAAAGGTCATAACCTCACTTAGATACTATTTGGGAACAAATCCTTCTTTAAATTATTTCTCTTTGAGATTATTTTACTAAATTAAAAGATAAACTTGAAAATAATACAATAATGAAACACAAGATTATTGTGTGAAAATTTTCTAAATGGAAAAAAAAATACGCATGTTGTTAAAAATAACAAGAGAAATCAATATATAAAAATTGTTATAATGCATAAATTATTCTCATATTCTTGACACCTTAAGTACACCTAATAAAATATTTAATTACATCTTCTACCATCTAAAACAAAAAATAAATAAAAAAAGAATTTAAAAGTCAAATAAATATATCAACAATTTACTTCATGTATATGGAAACTAAAATATTAAGTTGTTTATATAACCATAAGTCTCACCTATTTATTGTTCAGGTATATCTGAAAAATGGATATAAGCGCCATTGCAGATGTGAATCAGGTTTTAAGATTGTGATGAAAATTAGCGAATCAAAGCAGATTTGTATTAATCACAAGCTGGTACATAATTTAAACAAAGGCGAATGCAAGGAAGGCATTAACTCGGAACCGGTCTTTGCATTAATCATATTGACATATAGAATTAGAGATCAAAGTGGCTTCATGGATTAGTGCAATACTTTTCCACGTTCGCCAGAAGGGGGAAAAAAAAACTTGCTTGCAAGGAGTAGGTGGATTACACGAGCCAAACAACAAACCCGTTTTTATTTTGGTTAATCTTGCAGCTACAAGGAAGCCATTGCCATTGGTGCAAGATAAGGCCTGCATTTTAATGCAAAATTCTAAAGCCACAATCAATGCCATTGGAAGTAAGAGAAATGAAACAAGAAAAGAGCATAAAACAGCTGCAACTATCGTGTTTTAGACATGAGAAGGATAGAGTTAGGTTCCGTATATAAAACCACTATGGCCCCTACCGGCTGTTTCAATTGCCATTTTTGGCTTATGGACACCAAATTATGCGTGGTGGAATCAAACGGCTTTACGAATACTTTAAAAAACATGAAGAGCTAAAGCACCATTCATACCGTAGAACAAATCCTTTGTAGATACATGTTTTTTTACTGCAGTAAAAACTGTCAGCTTATGGGATTATATCTTTATGAACATATGAAGTATTGAACTTTCTCTTTACAAGCTACAATTTGACCCAAATGCCTTTACTGGGGAATGCCTTGATGGACCACAAACAAAAGATAAAACCCTGCCGGTGCGATATTTTCCGAACGTGGTATCGTGACACCAATGTTGTACATAGATTTCTCCAAAGCCGTCACCTTGTCATTTCCGAGTTCAAGCAACCTTTGATTCATAGAGAATGAATGTGTATTAAAAGGCGGTGCTACCATTGTTACCGACACCTGGTTTTGAGCAACATTACCTGCAATCATCACTTGAACAGTTAACTTTTGCCCGTATTTGATCCCGGACATTGATTTTGATGCAACGATTGTCGGTCTTATGCTGTTGAATTTAGCGTCTAAATATGCTGGAGAGAATGCTTCTAAGCTTAGTTCAGTAGGGAAAAGAACGTCCGTGAAGTTGTAAAACTTGTGGGGATTGCTCCCTCCAACTAAAAACTCTGCCATCACGAAGTAATGCAGCAGTAGAATGGTAGAGCCGAGGAATCGTTGTCGGGTTTTGTGTCTCGAACCGTGTCCCGATTTCTTTATCAGGCTTATATAATACCGGATTCACAACCGGGTTCCGACCAAACTCCCATCCTGCTGTTCCTGAACTAGCTCCATTGATGATCAAGACGTTACCGTTTGGAAGCAATATCATGTCACCCATAACTCTAGCCAAGAGGCATGGTCTCCACCACCCACCGTGGGTTGGGGGTCGCTTATTTTGATCCGGGCGCAAGTGTTCAAGGCTCCAATGAAAATTTTCTTACGTTTAGCTTGAAAAAAAGATCCTTTTGGAGCACCTCCACAAACCAAAACTTCAGCATGAATGGCTGGCGCTTGAAAGTTCATCAGTGGAAGCAGAACTGCTGAACCAGTGCGGGATAGCTTCTAGGATCGCCACCGGGAATAGTTGGATACGTTTTCACAACTTTGTTTTTCATGTAATCAAGCAAAATAGCTCGATTGTTGGCGAAAATAAACAAGTTTCCATCAACATTAGGAAAACAAAAAGGATTGTTCTCAGCTCTCTCTGTCATTGGTTTCCGACAAGAAAGGCAAATTAAACGTGTTGTCGGTAATGGTTTTAGGAACAAACCGTAGTTAAATCGTCCCCGGCCACCGACAACAATTTGTCTTCCATCAGGCAAGATATGGTTGGAGGCATACCATCTTTTGACAGCCAATCCATTCGGCGTTTCTCGCCAATCGCACGTCCCATGGGCTAAAAACCCGGATCTTTAGTTCGCCGTCGTTGTATCCACCGGTTTGAACCAAGTTGCCATCCGGCATGACAGACCCTGAAGAGCACCAAACGTCGGTTTGAACCATGAGAGCTCTGAATTTATTGGTTAAACATCGTACTCAAGTGAATGCGCAGTGGCAATCTACTTTGAGCTGTGTCTGTTGTCATAGCGGCATTTTCCATTAGGCAATGGCAGTTTTGATAATCCAAAATCAGTTCTATCAAATATAACTACACGGTCGTTCCGAAGGAGCTGCATATGCATGGCTGATATGCCTATGCTCTTTTGTAGAAGTTGCCATTGACCTTCGGCGGCGGAAGCGGCGAGGATATGCTGACATGGTTGTGATGCAAAGAGGTCGAAAGAGGATTGAGAAAACAAATGTCGAGGTCGACATTCTTTTTTTATTGGGGACGGCTTTATTGACTGTTGGGTCCTATTTATAAATTAAGAAATCGTGAGGGGGGATGCAAGAACTCAAAATTATGCAAATTCAGATTTAACCGTGTCTTAAATCACTTGATCTTCTAGAAAAAAAATATTTTCATAATAAAAAATTACCTCACGTGGAATTAGAATTGTCGAAGAAGAAAGCAATAAACCTAACCTTCTTCTGTTGCACATACTCTAATAGTTACATTTTTTTATATACTTTTAATGTGTGTAACCCTAAATTCTTTTATTTACTCTAATTATATATTTAGTCCATAGATTTCAGGGTAAGATCTTAAGAGAAAAGAATGGGAGGTTGAGAATCCGCACGTAGACTGGTGAAAAGGATGGTTATCTGGGTAGTTGACTACTTATGTTGGTAATATCTTTAAGTGGACAGATAATAAAAAATCTAAAATATATAATAATTTAAAATTTCAAAATAATATAAAATCATATTATTAATAAAAAATTAAATATAAAAAATTTAAAATTTCGATTTACTTTTCTTATTTCACCGATTAAGTATCCTCAACGTTCATGGGACTTTTGAAAAGCTAAGGAATCTCGTAATGTCTTGCCATTACATTTTATACCACTTTGGCTAGTTGTTTTGCGATGTTAATTTCATAGAGTTTTGGTTTGGGTTTGTTTTTACTAGGAAAAGAATCTCAAAGTTTCACAACGTGACATAGAGAAAGGTGACAAAAACATAAAATGTGGATGACATGCAACTCCTGTTTTAAAAGGTTCGATACCTGTGTGTGATTTCTCGAGTAAATCTTTGCATTTCTCCAACATCATTTTCTCAATCAAAGCAAATACAATAAAGAGACAGAAGATGATAAGACAAACAGCAAAGGTGGGGTTGGAACAGAGAGATGAAACGTGGGTGATATCAATTTTTAACTTCAAAAATGGCTTTTCTTTCTATTTTCATTACCATTTCTCACTAATGCTTTGATCACGGACACTTGTTGGCATAGTTAATGCCATTGATGGAAGGACACTGGACAAGCTTCCCATCCTTCTATCTTGTAGATGGTCCAAATTAATGTGACACGAGAATATTTGAGTATCATTGACGATGTAAACGTAATTTTTTTTTATAGAGGTATCATATTCAATAATGTTAAAAGCAGTGGCGGATTTTGAAATTTAAGATTGGGGTTCAAATTTTAATTTTTTTTCCTTAAAATAATAAGTATGCAAAAATTGTAATTTTTCCTTAACACATTAAGTAAATTTAACCATTTTTTTTTAAATAATGGGGATGCACTTGGTCTCTATGGGGGCTTAGTGCATCCGCCACTGGTTAAAAGTTGTAAAAAATATATTATAATCATAAAAATTATTGTTAGACTAGGAGATCCAATTACCAATAAATCAATAGGCCCAATTATGGGTGATGACCTAGACCAACAGGTTTATCATTGGACCAAGACTTGGAAGGTCCAATTACCAAATGTTAAATTCATGGCTGGAAAAAATAACTCAGCACTAGCCAGCATAGGGTGGAAGCGATAAAGAAGCGAATAAATGCCCTAGTTTTTCCTAATACAGTTAGCTTGTACTAGCAGGAATTGTGTCTTATTCAAATCGAGAAGATAGTTATTCGTTTTTTGTTGGCCACTATTCCCACCGGTCCCTGCCCTTTGCATCTCCAACCCTCGTTTCTCTACAGACTTAACATCAGGGAAAATTTAGGGCCAACCTTTTGCCTCCTTAAACTCTAGCAACACAAAAGCATTTTCCCCAACTTGACACAGGTGTGGATTCGAATACATTTGATAAATCATACTTTTTATGTCTTAATAAATCTATCACCTTTTATACACATCTGAATATATATTTAGCTTAATCAAATATATATATATATATATATATATATATATATATATATATATATATAGCACAAGATTTCATGGCATGCACTTGAAAAACAAGGACCCCAAAGGATTCCATAAATAAGATAATCATAAAATATAATCTTCCATATCAAGTAAGAAACAATGGAAACAGCAAAGTTGCATGATAAAGGTGGCGAGAAGTTTAGTTGAGTATAATGGTACACACCAATTCTGTTTTCTTAGCAATATACATGGCATGAACTTAGTTTATAGATGGAGACATGGATATTCTAATCGAGCAAGGGATAGGTGGTGAGATCGGATCCTCCACCACCGTGAAGACTAGGATGGTTTGGCAGCAGGCGTAGAGCAGATATACGAGGGCCTCCATTTTGATGCCCGATTAAGGTATCGTAATCCCCCGGGTCTTCTTTCAGAGCATCCTTAAATCAACATTACTTAACATAAGAAAAAAAACATATAAAACAAATGGTTGGAATGTGTCCTTAATTAATCAGGAAGTGCTTACCCGTTCATGTAACAGATTCTTGTGTATCTCTTCCATTCCTCACCTGCGGGCAACAAGATACATGATATAACATAGATCTGAAACAATTTTTATAAATTTAGAGCAATAAACGTTAATGATATAAATATTCAACTTGAAGTTGAAATATTCAATGTTTACTATTACATATTTCCTCGAAGTGTCGATCTGATTGGTGGTGTATGATACTGCCGTACATTATGAACATAAAAAAATTTAGATTATAATGGAAAGAATTTCATTGAAACCTGATTTTCAATACAAACATTTCTTTCTTGATAGAAATAAAGAATATATATATATATATTATATATATATATATTATATATGGTTAATATTAATTTGTACACTAAACATGATTTTTTAACTGAACTTAACAGATCTATGATGATCAGTGTTTCTAACCTATATATACATACACATACATATATTTCTTTTAAATTAATTTTTTTATGTACATAGAATATTATTTGATATATTGATGATAAAGTTTTTATTGTGTATACAAATTTAAAAATTTAAAAATTCATTAGTGATTTTAAGATGTCGCTATATGTTCTTTTTGTTATTATTATTTTATAGAATATTAATAACATTTTATATGTGTTTTTTAGTTTTTTTTTCATTGCATACGTATAGAATAATATATATATACTGTCATATCAACCAGTAGCATTATTATCAATCTTTCCTAACGACGGTTAACGGTGCTTGGGAATATGAAGAGGAAACTATAACACTTTGTGCCACGCAACCTTCTCGCACTAAGGCCGAATAGAGGATCAAATCCAATGAGTATTAATGTCGCAAACACTAACAGTAGGGGTATAGAGCTCGAGCTTCCTCCCTAAGATCCAAAATCTTCTGCAAAATACAACTAATGCAAGACTTGCCATTAACCTCCAAAAGTTGACCCCCTAAACACATATGTTTTGATCTACGCCACCCATAAAGAACCATCATCATTGTGAGAAAGGGGCCATCAATGGCAATAACATTTTATATGTGTTTTTTAGTTTTTTTTCATTGCATACTGTAGACACCCGTTTTTGTCCGGGTCTAAAAAACATTTTATCATATAATTATTTTTTATTTTTATTATTATTATTATTGTTAATAATATTTTTATTTTTTAATTTTACAGGCCTCATGTATAACCCCACTACACCACCATTGTCTCAACCAAAAAACAACCCACTAAACCACATCCAATTAGTTACCAACTCCACCCCACCTACGTGTCTACTGTCTACTACAAAAGGAGATTTTGATAACATTTGCTTTTCATCTTTGGAGAGGATAAGAGCTGATTCCCCCTTGATTTCTGGGGGTTCCATCTTGATTAAAGGTGTGTTTATTTCTGAAGAAAAAGAAAAGATTCGCCTCCTCACTGTTGAAGTGCGATACACGAGAGTATAAGATAAGCTCAAATCAAACACTTCAAGGACACTTGTTGGTTCCATTCGATAATCATTTCTTCAATTTCCTATTGTTGTATTTGATTCATCGAAAGCGACCTTTCTTGGTCTGTTCACCCCTTCCGCATCTAAACAAATAATCAGACCACAAAGAACTGATCGGCCTATTCCATTCTTCTTTGAAACCATCGCCTCAACCTGAAACGCCAAGGTAATTCTCCTACTTTCTCTATGACATGCCCCCATTATAAGACCCTTAATATTACGAATAAGCACCCCTGCCCATGCTTTATGTTGCTATTGTTTGAATTTTGCATCGAACTTTACCATGACGAATGGGTGAGGGGGAGTTGTCCAGCGAACAGACAGAAGGCCTATGAAGATACTGATTTGCCAAAAGGAATTTCGAGCACTGAGCCTTTACCAAGGGCTTCCTTTTGCTCTCCCATGGAAGTAATGTTGGTGTCGACCCAACTCGCACTTTAACAGCGAATTAACAAATCAGGTAATCGGAACTTGAGTTATTATGGTATCTTCTTTTTTAATTAAGAATCTGAAATTTATAAACCATATAACCAGGAAATGTTATGCTCTTCTGCTTGTACGTTTGGTATCCATTAATAATTTCCAGAGATAAAATAGAATGGTAAATCAACTTGTAGTAAACGTGACTTCCAGTTTGCCATCTTTCTTATTTGTTCTGTGGGTTCAGGAGAGTTTGCCTTTCTCTCTATTTGATTCCAGTTAGCTCATTTCTATCTGAGGAACATTTATCATGTTTAATGATTCAACTTTATTTGAAGATTAGCTTCTTGATGGACTAGTTGATTTTTGGCATTTTGATTAATGTATTAATTAATTGTTCCATCCCTGTCTTTATGACAACTTTTAGTTTTCGTTACTGCTTTGATCCAGTGGCAATGCTTGATTTATATGTTCTTGTTTGGATTACAAACTCCATGTGATTATTCCTTGTGAGACCCCTGCATTGACGTCATGCAGTTCTAATTTTATTTGGATTATTTTTTTACCCCATTATTGTTGCACTTATACTAAAATGTTCTTTCAAACTAGAGTCTATCATGTGAAAACATAATAAAACACCTATCTATATATTTTTTCGTATTAATTTTTAAGAGATAGATAAGTGTTTCTTTTGTAATACAGTACATAGAGAAACCGAGTCATTTTACATAAATAAATTTTTCTTTATTTCTTAACATTTTTATTATTATTTTTTATTTTGTTTCTGGCGTTTCATTTAATATTTTATTTTTACCATCTAATACCTTTTTGACTTTTTCAGTAGTAATTTCGACTGATCAAAGGTAAGTAATTCGAATCGGATTTTTAAATTTCAATTTAAATTTTTCAATTTTCGCAACCAGAGACAACCGACAAATTAATTGGTACCGAAAGGGCGGTTCAAGGGTGCTAATCCTTCCTTGACCGTAACCGACTCCCGAACCCGACACGTTTTTTGTATAACGCAGATCAGGTAAGATGGTGTCCGATCTACCTAAATGTTTTTAAAATGGTCGGTGGCGACTCCAATCCACATTTTTCACGTCGAAGCCCAATCTCGGGGCCCAACCGAAAGACGGTTGCGACAGCTTGGCGACTCCACTGGGGACAGGTAAGTGAGTCAGGCCAGAATTAATTTTCGGTTGTCTTTTTTATATGAAAATTGTAAATTTAAATTTTAATTTATTTATTCGATTCCATTTATTTACCTTTGATTATCCTTCAAGTAAATAGTTGTACTAACGTTTGTTCAATGATTTCTGTTTTTTTAAAATTTTCATCTTTGGCTCTATACCCGAGCTCCAAACCCTTTTAAGTGGGGGTGAAAGCGACGCATTCGTGTGAATTTATTCACCGCATATGCCTAGCAAGTAGCCTTCGGGATTCATATACCTTATGTCTTCGTGTGAATTTATTCACCGTGCGGGCATAAGGGAATGTTTCCTCTCGAGTTTAACTTAGTCCACATAAGCTTGTAATGGGCTTAGGACTAAGGGTCTGGCAAGCCCAAGGGGGGCACCGGCAAGGAGAACTCGAGTACCTTTTTAGAACCTAAACCGGGAGAGTACAGGGAATTAGAGCTCACCCCAAGTCCTCATTCCAAACCCTAGGATGCTTTGTTTCCTGCTTTATTTTCTGTTCAAAGTATGCGAACTAGACAAATATGCGGCTAGGATTTGTTTGAAATTAGCATGCGGGATAGAAATCATGTCTGTGTAGGAATATTAAGCATGTTCGGGTAGATTATCATGTGGGGTAGGATTTTTTTTATTTATTTTGATTTACCTCACTAACCCATTTTATTTTTTGTTCTATTTCATTTTATTTTCATCATTCGCATCATTTAAAACGAGGTGTTGATCCACCAAAAATGTGTTTGTTAAATATGAATAATCTGTATTAATGGACAAAGGGATTATAATACAAAGAGATAAAAAGCTCAAAAGCCCAGCCGTGGTCAAAGAATACTCGGAGGCAAAGGGTGCAGGGGCAAGACGAGGAAAATGTTACTGACCCGGAGAGTCCTTTCGAAAACTGCGAGATCAAGATGGCGAAACCCTAGCTAATCTGGAGATCATTATTGATAAATTCTAGAAACAAGTTGATAAAACTTTGGGTGGAGGGCTCCGATGGCACTTTCGTTTGGAACAAGCTCGACATAGAGTGAAAGCCGGTGATGCAGTCCTTCGAGACCTTTTGGGGGCAAGCAGCTCGTTATTTGCACATTTTAGCCAAAGGAACCGGAACGGTTTGACAGGGTATTCAACCGGTGACAGACGAAGGCAGAAGACTAGTCAACCTATCAGAAGCTGTTCGGGGTCTATGCCTTCAAAATATTTTTGTCTCTTAAGACGTAACACTTTTGTCCCAATAAGGATTATTTATAATAACAGGTACATTTTTTGGATCAATGCCTCGAACATTTCATGCATCATGCATTCAGACATATTATGCATTTTGTTATTTTTCTTTACATTCGTATTATTTTTCCCTTTTCATTACATTCACATATCTCATAAAAGATGAGAACATTTCGATCCTATGACATATAAGGAGCTTTACCAACAATTGTTTGACGCACACGTGATGTCACCATATCCAGAGAAATCCATGATGCCCCGTACCCCAGGTAGTATGATGAGAACGCTCATTGCGAAAATCATAGCGGAGTCCTAAGGCGCACTATCGAGAATTACTCCACAATCAAGAGAATCATACAGAAAATATGTAACAAGAATCGGATCGACTTCAACAACTTGGGGGCATTCAAGTGAGGAAGATCATTTCATCATTGAGGCATTCTGTTTGAATCTGTTTTTTCATTACTTCTCAAATTTTGTAAGGAATTTGAATGAATCACATTTGCAAACTTGCAATTCTTTGAATATCATTTGAATTAAGAAACTCTGTAAATGATTTAAAGTTACAAATCTTTTGACAAAGTAACATGATTTAAAACAAGGACTTTGACCTTACCCAGAATATACCCTCAAACACCGTACCTTGCTCTTACAATTAACCAATACAACCTTTTCTTTTCATAAGGTGCGGACAACACGGGGTATCATTTGCATATGACAATTACTATGTTTTTTTATTTAAGACGTTCAATGACGATGATGATCTTTACAAATGAAAGAGTCGAGTAGGTGAATCCAGTTTAGGTCAGTTGCTTGAAAATTAAACTCTAAAGATGAAATTTTTGACTTTCAACAAACACCTAGGCTATAACAGGTTCTTGTTGATAATCTTAAGAAATTAAATCCATAAAGCTGAGCTATTCCACTAAGGCAATTGGTTACAGAGGAAACTCGAAAGCCCTGGCTTTATGAATAGATTGTATTCAAACCATGACATTGCTCGGACACTTGGCAATTCGGTGTTTGCTCCACTGCTTTTGTCAGGCCGAAGACTTTGTGATGAGATGAACCCTTCAGTTAAACCTGATAAAAGTGATTATAATGTTAAGCTGTCCCTCTAAAGTAATTGGTTAAATGCCCCGACTTTATGGATTCAGCTAGCCAGACAATGACAAATTAAATCAAATTTATCTGAGCAAGAAATTTTCGGTAATGTTGAACTAAGGGAGTTAAGGAACACCTGTTATAGTCGACTACACATGAGCACTCAAGAATTTCATTTTTAGACCGATATTTTTCGCACTACCTTTGTTGGAGGAGCCTACAAAGCTTGAACAAATGGAAGATTTCAAAGGACCGAAATAAAATGTCTAGTAATTGGTCATTCTAGTTGCGTCATTATGTTCGCACCCAAATGAAATGCCAAAGCATATTTCGATATTTAAAAAATAAATGACATTTTGGGTTACCAAAACCTTAGAAAGGAGGCCAACCTAAAGCCAACTCATCCATTTGAACATTTGTCAAAGATTTGTAACTCTGAAAGCATTAAAAGAGCTCTTTATTCCTTTGATATTTTTTGAACTCCCATTTACAATTTGATTCAATTGCGAACAATATTTTACAACATTTTTATCATGTCTCTCTCCTAAAATAAGAAAAAGGAGAAAAACATTTTAAAGTGGGACAGTCTCAAATATGAAAGGTCTGTAAAGCCAAAGCTCGAGAAACAAATGGGGCACGATCAATTCCATGAACCAGATTGGCATGCAAGACGCGAGACTTCAATCCAAGAAATAAATCATAATTCATTCATGATTGCATGCATCTTATACATACCTAGGTACATCACATCCATCATTTTCAGCATACATGATTTGTTACAGCCTTTAGAGCCAATTTCAACTTCACAACGAAGGATATTGGACTCCAGACAACGCAAGTTCAACTTCACGACGAAGGGACCGCTGGTTGTCAATAAACAACTTCTCAATTTCAGAGCCAATTTCAACTTCACAACGAAGGATATTGGAC